AAAAAAAACTACTAACTCACATAGCCACAAATAACACTACGTATATGACAATCACATAATAGTCTTAGGGGGAAAAAAAAATTCTACAACTTCTGTCAATGACTTTACTTCTAGTATATTTACCTAAAAAGTATATCTTTCAGGGCACTGGCCAAGATCAGATCAGATTATACCGAACAATGCTAAAAAGCCCATTGCTAAAATTTTTATGCTTTTCCTGTATCTTTTCAAATTAGCTGAATATTATTATTAAATTTCTTGTTTTGAAATATCATCACAATAAGCACTATTTTAATTTGAATAGCACCCCTTTTTCCTGCTTCAGTTTACAATCAATTTAGACACAAAGGATTCAGGCCAACTGAGGTTATCAGCTTTATTGCGAATAAAAGCTGGATTGGAGGGTGCAACTTACATATGCAGTAACAATGGATTTCCTAATCTAGATCCTAGAATGAGATGTAGTCACCCAGCCACAAGCATTGTTGAACAACCAAAACCTTCCCAAATAGGATTCTTGACCTACAACCCTGAGGATATGAAAGAAGCAACAGAATATGCAAATTCCATTCCTCTTATTCCTCAAAGAAAAAAGAGCAGAGATATAGATGGTCTGTTTCTCATTAATGAGAGAAGTGAAGACAAAGAGGCTAGGGTATTGTTCTACTGTAAGAGTTTCAAAGCATCACCCAGGGGCCTCTGAGAGGGTCCCTGAGGTCAAAATTATTTCCATAGTATTACTAAGATGTCATTTCCTTTTTTGTGCCATACTCTCATAAGTGTGTGGTGAAGTGTTCAGAGGCTTCCTGACATGTAGCATCCAGCAGACTGAGTTCAGGACCAGAGAGCAGGATTCTCCTATCACACTAGACACCAGGAGGATGTGTACAGATGTCAGACAATGCCACTCTTTACTTATAAACAGAAATTTTTATAAAAACTGTTTTACTTTCTAATATTGCAAATATTAATATTATAATTTATATCTTTGGGGTCTTCAGTAATTTTAAAAAGTGAAAAAGACACCTGTGACCAAATTTGAGTTTGAGAACTACTACTGTAATAGCAGAAGCAATATCACGAATGGGGGTAAATGTCTTCTAGAAGGCAAGTCTTCCCAACTACCCCCTTCCCATCATCAACATGAACTACATTTTTCTAATATCATGTTTAAAAAACTCTTTAAAAAACACACTGAAATCATTAGCAGAAGGCACGGGGTTAGTACATTCACTCACATCAGTTACCGGAAGAGGATTAGACAACAGATCCTGCCCTTCATGTGCCAACAAAATGTGACA